TTAAATGACGATGGAAAACATCCCACCAGGCTGGCTTGTTAACCCGTAAGATCAATTTAAAAATAGACATCATCGAGGTATTTCTTCACCATGACATTTAAAACCCAATTCACAATCATTACAGTGGTCTTAGGACCCTCTCCTCCAACCAAAACAAAACTCAACGAGGGGAAGAAGAGGTGGAGAGGCAGTACAGTATATCGTGATAATGTGCTTCTCAATTTTATCAAGTATTTAATAAACAAGCAGAGGAAAAGAACAACCCGTCAACATGTTACCTTTGGTAGAAAAAAAAAATTTTTTTTTTTTAAAACACAAAACAAAAGAGCAACACACACTTTACCAGTCACTGCTCAGTAAGACAGCGATTGTTGCAATGTCGCGGAGATGAACATCCAGTGGGGTCTAGGAGAGCAACAAATACAATCAAGAAGTCTAAAGATCCTCATTCCCTTCAAACAGTTGATGTTTCCAACAAGACCCTTAGAATTGCTCCTAAAAGGGTATACCTGCCGGCATTCAAAACAGATAAAATATTTTTTCTCTTGAAGAGAAAAAAAGAGACCTAAAGGTCTTTATTTGTAGTTAAGTCCTCAAATAGGTCAGATGAACCAGTAGTTCCATAATACTGAACAACATGGTAACAGTGTGCGTAATTCCTGGTGGAGGGGGGTGAGGGAAAGGTTTGGGGAGTCACGTTGGTAAGGAACACTTGGATTTATGACTATGTTTGCCTGAGTAGAAGGAATATTTGGTTTCAAGATTTCTTGTTCAAGGTCAGTCAAACGTTTCTCCCGGGAGAAATCAGTTCTGGATTCCTGAAAACATTTTCTTCTAGAGGTAGCTTCACGCCCACCCACTCCCCAGTGGTTTAATACTATTTATCCCGAGACCCGTCAGATGCTAACATGAGGTAGGTGACTTTTGCCAAAAGTGAGGTAGAAACCAAACGAAACAACTGGCGTGGAGTGGAGTGGTGTGCGTGCCCTGTGCTCCTGGCCCGCAGGAAGCCAGAGAGAGTTGCAGAGCCTCGAGAGCTCGTAGCTCTCTGGTATCATCATCACACAAGTAGAAGGGTTCGACTTGGATACAGCCCCAGACTGTTGGAACCGCAAGAGTGATGTTTTCAATAAATACCCTAAATACTTTTTGGCACCATTGAAAATTTTTTTTTTTCTTCTTTCCCCAAACAGAAAAACAAGCCTATTAATAACTTTGGCATTTCTTTCACTATCTACCAGAACACAGCAATCTTTGAATCTCCCGGAGAGGAAGACAACACATAGACAGACAGTATGCTGCTGCTTCAAGCCTAAAAGACACCCCTCCTCAAAACCATTTAAGCTTTGGCTTAACTAGAAGTACACAGACCGAGCCAATCTCAAGCTCTTCTCTTACAGCTCCAACTCAAAGTGCCTTAAACCTGGCGAACTTTTTTTGGCCCAATACATAATTTAGATTCTGTTTATGGTACCCTTGTGTTTCCCTAAATAAATGACACTTAAAAGGGCATCCATCAGTCAAGGAGTTAGTGCACCTGGGGCCGTGCCCAGCGCCCTGGGCTCCAGCCACCTGCCAGCTGCCATACAGCACAGGCTGAGAGGGCATTGCCTCTCGAGAAGGAATGATTTTTTTAAAGCAAAAGATGAACACTTTTGAAATGTGAAGTCAGTGACAAACCAAAAGTGGTTTTTATCTGTGCGTTAGATTTCCTTTAGCCACCTCAATACCCAAACCTATATTTTCTAATCCAATTGGCATTTCCGAACATAAGCTGGCCTATATCCCACCACCCTGCCACCTGACCAGATTAGACATGCATGGGGATTATTGTCTGAACATCACATTTACTCAATAGAAACATTTTCCTCTCCTCCCTTCCGGCACCTAGGACCTCTCACCACGTTAAAAGACTTCCCTTTCTGACGCAATTCCTACCCACCCTAGCATCACCTCACATCGGGCAGGAGGTATGCACTTAAATACAACTAATTTTGAACAGCCTCCCTCACACTAGAGAGCTCCAAATATTGGCTTTTCTCCTCTTTCTTTGATTTGGAGCATTCCACATTGTCCAATAAACACATTCCAAAGTGCTTCGCACCAATCCCTGTGGATCAGGAGTCAGTTGTGGGCGGCCACAGAGGCCCATGTTTTAAAAACAACATCTTCCCCAGCGTGACCATGTTTTGCAAATGGCAGTGATGCACAATTGTGGGTAAGGAGAGAGATACCCCCCCACTGAGGGTAAAAAGAGGCAGCACCACCCACCCACCCACATTCCAGGGAGAACCTCCTAGAGCTTTAAGCCTGCAAATTGATCAGTCTATTGATTATAAGACCTGGTCATTTCAGCCATGTGTGGAAACTCTGGCTCTACAATCAAATCCATAGAAAAGTGATAAATAAGCAATTTTAGTGACTGCCATTCACCAAGAAAATTCCCCACTCAGGTCCCAAGATGCCCCCACACGTGGGAGACTGGGAAGAAAAGTTGAGAGCAAAGATGATGATGAAACGGAACACGGAATAATCAAAGGGAGTAACCACACTTGGTACGTCATCCCAGCCATCATCATGACCTAGAGTTTTCTGAGAACATTAAAGAACTTTCAAGATCCATTTCTTCAATAATAATAATAATAAAATGTTTTTAAGCATTTAAAACAAGTTGTCTTTGGTGTTTAAAGGGTGATTTGTTGGGTAAGGTGGGGTGGGGCTGGGGGTGAGGAAAAGACCAGCACCAAGTGATTCCAAAATAAAAAATAAAAATGCTTACTTACATGAGCTCTTTACCAAAGACGTTAGGGACAAAATAAAAGGCAACTGAATAGAAACTGAGGCAGGATTCACTGTTCAATTCTTCAATAAAAGAAAAGGCGTTTTTACAAAATGAGACTTCCTGTCACCTCCCACCCTGTAACACAGCAAGCTGAGGCAGCAGGTTCAAGTTTTTTAAATTTTTGGATACTTGACTGAAGCTCTTCAAGAAATGAGGTTCCCCCCATTTCGGTCATTTAGAAACCCTAGAACCAAAGCAATGGGAACCGGGAATTGGTAAATTAAATGTCCAGTAAAGCAATTTGATTGATTTGTTAACACTGTCCCCGACATTTTCTTTGGGGATGACAAATTGCTTCATTTGTCAGTTTACTCTGTTCACTTAAAACGACATCCATATTGCAAAAGGGATTTCTTTTAAATTCAGGAACAGAAAGTGACCCGTTAGTCTGTTTAAACAAGAGCTCTTCCTGTAAGCCCCTGGCTTCCGAGAGAGCCTGTTTTCCTCCTGAGCTGTGCAAGTCTCGAATCTGGTTCTTATTTCCGTGTTTGCGGGAAATGCAGGGACCCGTGTGGGTTCCGCCAAGCAGGGTATCAGCCCCACCGGCTTCCCACTTAAAAGGACAGATAATGCCCAGAAGCACAAGGTTTTGTACCCAAGTCCAGGTTACTACGAACCAACCCTGTAAAGTGACCGACGCCGTCCCAACGTTCTGCAGTGGAGACCGGCTTCAATTTTCATTCTTTGGTACCGAGATAGAGGTTTCACAAAAGATAGTATGTCCTACATTTTGAGTTGGGGCAATTTAAGTTTACAGATCCTTTACATTCAAAGGCCTTGGGGGGGCGGGGGAGGGGGGGCATGGGGGTAGGGGGGGGTGGAGAGACGTTAACCTTGAGGTCCTACGGTAGGGCGCGGGGAGCAGACCGCTTTGTAAAAGAGACCCGAGCAGAGGGTGAAGGATGATGGGCTGTCCCTATGAATCTGACTTTCAAAACATTCCATTTCCCTGCACTTCCCAAGCAGGAAAAAAATTGTGCTTTTAAACATAAAAGTTCATTCCCTTGCCTACTACTCTTCTCAGCAAAAGGCATGCATGCTTCCACGAACAGAACAACATTCAACCTAGGATCGGGGATCAACCCCAACCCTCCTGCAGAGTCCGGAAGAGTTTGGGGGTGACTTGCTTCATTCTCACGCTCCCAAGCGACTACCTCGGGACACGCATGTGCACCCACCAGGCCACGTCCAAAACCCTCTTTCTGAGAATGAGGTCCACTCTCTTCTTCCGTTTGCTTACAACTCTTTATAACCAACAGCAAACTAGGAATACTTAACTTTTGAGAATACTTTTAGCAAAAACGCTGAACTACATTTATTACTTTTTAGGAACTAAAGTAGGAAGAGAAAGGTTCTTTGGGAGGTTGTGCATCACCTTCAGCTTCATTAACCTGATGTAAGACGGCCTCACACACACGCCCCTACCTTGAAAGAAACAGAGGTGACATAAGCTAAACGAGGAATATGAGTCGGCTTTTCTCGGCTGGCAAGCCACAGCCCCATCTTCTAGGAACAAGAAAAGATGCTGAACAGGATGACAGACACACTGAGATATAAAAGGAGAACATAAGAAAGTTCTCCATTGCAGCATTTAAAAAAAATTTTTCCCCCCCAAAAAGATCAAGATCACACAACACAATCTAACCCCATAAACACAGTATTCTCAAGAACACAAATACTCTATAATTAAGCATTTAAAATCCTATTTTCCCACGTTTTATATTTTTGTGGTTTTTTAACTTAGTAGTTTTTTCCGTGTTTCCTTGGCTCAATCTACAGAGTATCAGCCCACCACACACATCCAGTGCCCTGCCAGCCAGAGACAATAGGCTTGTGCATGTCACGTCCCACGGAGGGGAAGAGGGACACGTGACCTCCACTGAACTGAGGGCCGGCTGGAGAAGGAAATGTAAAGATTTATGAGGTAGATAGAAATTATCACTTCACAGGCTCAATCCCTGCAGAAAAGATAAGTACATTCATCTGTAAAAAAAATAAAGATGAGGTAGGACTTAGGCAACGTTGTACTTTTCTTGTTCTCTTTAAACAAAAGAAAAAAAGAAATTTCCCTGAGACTGTTTCTTCCTTGAAATTCAAAAGGAGAAGAGAGAGAGAGAGAGAGATGCACACCCCAAACACAAAAGCCTAGAAAATGTGATTAGAAGATGAGGATTCGATTGTTGCCAAAGTCAACCACGACGATCATCCCATCGGGGGTGACGGCGATGCCGGAAGGACGGTCCATCTGCCCAAAGCCACTGCCCTGAGCTCCAAACTTGCACAGGAAGCTGCCGTTGGACTCGAACATCTGTACCCGGTGGTTCCTGGAATCGGCCACAATGATGCGCCCCTCCTGATCCACGGCCACGCCCTGCGGGCGCAGGAACTGCCCGTTGCCGGTGCCCTCCGAGCCCAGGAAGCGTGCAGACTGGCAATCGGGGTGAATAACCAGGAGCCGGTGGTTGTTGAAGTCGGTGACCACCAAGTGGCCCTCGTGGTTGAAGGCCACGCCCCGAGGGGAGTCAAAGTGCTTCCAGAGAGCCCCCTCGAAGCCGTACTTATTCAGGAAGACGCCGTCGGGCCCAAACAGCTGGATCCGGTGGTTCCGCGTGTCTGAGACCAGGATCTTGCCCTCGGAATTCACCGCCACATCCCAAGGGTAGTTGAACTGCCCGTTTTTGGTCCCTTTCTCGCCAAACTTGAGGAGGAACTGGCCCTCGAAGGTGAAGACCTGGATTCGATGATTGTCCTTGTCGGCCACCACGATCCTGCGGGAGGCGTCGCAGGCCACCCCGGCCGGCCGGTCGAACTGCCCGGGCCGGGAGCCCAGGGTGCCGAATTTGTGGTGGAAGGTGCCACAGGGCTTGAACACCTGGATGCGGTTGTTGCTGCGGTCGGCGACCACGATGTAGCCCTCCTTGTCCACGCTCACGCCCCAAGGACGGCAGAGCTTGCCATCGCTGTCGCCCTCGCTGCCGAAACTCAGGCCCGGGATCCCAATGCCCACGTAGCTGCGGCCCGACTTGACCACCACCTTGAAGGGGCTGTTCTCGATGTGCTGGTTGCACAGGGTGACCGACACCAGGTGCTCACCCTCCAGCTGGGGCCGGTAGCTCACCAGGTAAGTCCCGTTCTGCTGATCACTCACCTCGGCCCCAAACAGGTTGCCGTCAGGGCCCAGGACCACGGCTGACATCAGGTCGCCCCCCGAGAGACGAGGCTCTCCATCGTGGTCGTAGCCCATGACGGTGAAGGTGGCCACCTTACCCTGGAGGGCCCGCTTGAGGCCGTCGCCCGTGGCCTTGGTGAGCGGCGCGAAGGCCCCGCTGCTGACGAAGCCGAAGGACTTGATGGCGAGGTACAGTGCCTGGTCGGGGGGCGTGAACATGACCCGGTCGTCTTCCTGGGGCTGCAGGAAGCTGCGCACCGTCTTCAGCTCCTGCACCTGGGCCAGCATGCGGTCTCGGGCCAGCAGGATGTCCAGCGCCCGGCCCTCCTCCAGGACCTGCTGGACGGCGCTGATGGTGCTCTCCAGCTTGTTGAGGTTCTGCCGCAGCTTTTCCACCTGCAGGTACAGAGACTTGGCCTTCACCTGGCGGATCTTCTCTACCTGGAGGGAAAGGTGAGGACAGGGAGAGAGGACACAGAGGCTTAGAGCCAAGCACAGAGGCTTAGAGCCCATCACCTGACACTAGTCAGGAAGAACCCTCGGACAAATCCGTGCTGAGGAGATAATCCACAGAAACAGCTGGTCTGCACTCCTCAAACTCAGCAAAATCCAATGGCAAAAAAAGGCTGACGAACTGTTCCAGGTATAGCGGATGACTACACAGACACGACTAAATGCAATGAGTGATCCTGGATTGGGCGGGGCGGGTGTGAAAGGAACGAGGCGGGGAGAGCTGAGCTGTGCTACTAAAAATACTATTTCTTTTTTTTTTTTTAATATATTTTTATTGATTTTTTACAGAGAGGGAGGGAGAGGGATAGAGAGTTAGAAACATCGATGAGAGAGAAACATTGATCAGCTGCCTCCTGCACACTCCCCACTGGGGATGTGCCTGCAACCAAGGTACATGCCCTTGACCGGAATCGAACCTGGGACCCTTGAGTCCGCAGGCCGACGCTCTATCCGCTGAGCCACACCGGCTAGGGCTAAAAATACTATTTCTGAAATTTGACTACTGACTGAGGAGTAGTTACTAGCACAGAACTGGGATTAAACTTCCTGATTTTAATGAACTGTGTGCTTAGCTAAGAGAATGTTCTTGATCAGGGGCAATAAACAGTTTAGAACTTGGGGGATAAAGGGACATCATGTCTCCAACACCAACTTACTCTCAAGTCAGATCCATACATTTTATTATATATATACTAGTAGAGAGAGTGATGAAAATAGGGCAAAATATAAATAACTGGTGAATCTGGATAAAGGATGTGCGGAGTTCTTTTATTAACCCCTGCAACTTTCTTGTAAGTTAGAAATTAAATAAAAATTTAAAAAAAAAAACAGTCCTCTAACAAGTTGTTTATTGAGTATCTACATTGTGTCAAGGCACTGGAGGTACAGTGGCCAACGGAAAACATGGATGGTCCTTGCCCTCATAGGAGATTATACTTTTAAATGACATATACTCAAGCAAGCACACCAAAGAAACAAGGTAAGGTAATTTCTGGTGATGATGGGTGTTAGAGAGTAGAAATGGGAGATGCAAGACAGCATCTAGGGAGGCTGGATTTAGACAGAGGGATGTCAGAGACCCTTCCTTTCACAAGCCAACGGCTAAAAAGAGTGGTCCAGCCCTGACCGGTTTGGCTCAGTGGATAGAGCGTTGGCTTGTGGACTGAAGGGTCCCAGGTTTGATTCCAGTCAAGGGCATGTACCTTGGATGCAGGCGCATCCCCAGTGAGGAGTGTATAGGAGGCAGCTGATCGATGTTTCTCTCTCATCGATGTTTCTAACTCTCTCTATCCCTCTCCCTTCCTGTCTGCAAAAAAATCAATAAAATATATATTTTTTTAAAACACCACCATAAAGTCATTTTTTTAAAAAATAAATGAGTAAAAAGAGTGATCCAAGCAGAGGAAAGAATAGGCATGAAGACCCTGAGGTGGGCACTTGCCTGGAATTTCAAAAAAACTAGCGAGTTTTACGCAGGGAGAGACGTGAGTGGATGTATGTTCTTATATAACCTATAAGGAGCATGTATTGGAGAGGACAAGGGAGGAAGCAGAGACCAGCGAGCACCCAGGTGAGGGGTGATGGCATCTTAGGCCACAGTGGTGGCTGTGAAGGTGGAGAGATAGATAGAAAAGTGGCAGAAAGGATGCCAGAGGCAGAACCAGCAGGGCTTCCCAACAGCCGAGGCCAGCCTTCCACTCCCAGAAGACTGAACGGTCAGTGCTGCAACGGAGAGCCTGCAAGGCCTTGAATAAAATGCCACCCCCACCCTCACCCACAAGAAAGATACCGAGAGAGTAAAGGGAGTTGGTGAGGACCTAATTCCACTTACACCTCCTCTGGTCTCCTCTCCTCACCTCTAAGAACAGGTTTTAGAAACCGTCAATAGGAAGCCCAAAAGGCCTTACCCACAAAAGTTGGAAAAAGGAGCCCCCTAAATCTAAAATGCTATAGTAAACATGGATCCAGATCTGCCGCAGTAATTCCTGCCTCAAAGGTGGGATTTTTGTCTGACCAAGGAAAACAGAGTCATTTCTCCATTCTTTTGCATTAAGGAACTAAAAGTCCTCTAATTCTAAGTGATTTCCCCCAGGAAGGGAGCACAAAGGTCACCCAGCTAGTTCACCCTGCTTTGCAGGGGATCGTGAATGCCGACTGCTCCGAAAGCTGCAGAAAGCCTTTTTCAGCAGGCGGGGAGGCCTGGATTTTCATCGGATTTTCCCTTGGGGAGTGATAAGGTGATTTCTGACCCATTCACCTGCTTTTTCATCTGCTCACCCTGGAAGCAAGACACGAATGTGCAGAGAGGCCCTTGTGGGGACAGGTCAAAGAGAGGCTTTGTCCTTCGGTCTTGCACTGGACCAAGCCTCCAGGCTTTGGTTCTGACCCCTCAGCCAGGTGGTTGTCGCTAACCCCAAGAGGAAGCCACATCCACTGGAAATTTATAAGCCACAAGAATTAAAGGTAGTTCACCTGGCCCTCCAGTATCTCGATGTACAATAGCTGAGATGCAAAAAGGCAAAACCTTATCACAAAGAGGTGCCCGGGCAGAAAAATTTGTAATCAATAAAAGGGAGGAGGATTCCCACATGATGTGGGGCGGGGTACCATAGCAAAAAGTCAAGATAAAAGAGCGTGTCCAAAATGAGCAAGCCTATTTGGGAAGAATCTGAGAATGAGTGCTTGGGCAAGTAGAAATAATAACGTTTATTTGCACGAAGAAATGGACTCTACCCCCCCCACACACAAATTTGCTTCTCTTAGCGTCAAAACTTGCTTTCCATTCCTCCTGAAAGAAAACTGCCTTTGGAGTCAGCCTCACGGGAGGGAGGATGAGAACGTAGGTGAGATCCGCAGAAACACACAAAGGCCTTTTCATCGGCAAATCCAGAAGAGCGAGTTTGTGGCAGAGTTCACCACAGAGCTCTCAGGTTGCAAGGAGTGGGCCCCCTTTCAGTTATAATGAACATTCGTGGGTGGCATGAGGCTGACAGGCCACGGGGGCATCTGAGTGTCTGATAACCGTGTCAGGGCCACAAAGGTGCCTAAATAAAATATGTGCTGAATTAAATCTTGGGACTTTTTTCCTCCCACAGAGTCTTCCTCTTCTTGTCAAAAAAGCAACCGAGCCATATTCCTTGAGAGGTCGGACGAAGCAGAGAATTAGGAGCTAACTAAATGGGAGAGTGCAAGATCCGAGGTGGCCTTCCGTAGTGATATGTAGGGCATAGGGTCACTTACAGAAATCGAGGTACCACCTCGCTACCATCATATAGTTTGATGATCAAAACAAGCACGCTCACCCTTTATATGTGGCCTCATGTGTGCGTTCAGAGAATGTAATTACAGTGGAACTGGCGTGTGGCACAGGCCCAGTGGGTAGGGAGAGCCATCTTTCCAGCTGATTTTTAAAACGTGTATATTTGTATTGATTTCAGAGAGGGAGAGGGAGAGAGAGATAGAAACATCAATGATGAGAAAGAATCACTGATCGGCTGCCTCCTGCACGCCCCCTACCGCAACCCGGGCATGTGCCCTTGACCGGAACGGGATCTGGGACCCTTCAGTCTGCAGGTTGACGCTCGATCCACTGAGCCAAACCAGCTAGGGCTCCAGCTGATTTTTTATCTAAACAGCACACCAGTGTGCTCAGCATGCTTTCCTGCTCCAACAGGAAGAAAGGGCACACGCTCACTGCCCTCGCCAAGTGGAAAACTGGCCTTCCACAAGGGTTCAGGAAGTGCAACCAGCCAGGACACCAAAAATAAGGATGTTGCCTACTAGCCTGCTTTCCTAACAACGGCTTCGATTGTCCGTCCTGTCAGCTTCCTTCGGAGCGTGTGTGCCATAGAAAACTCGGGATTCCTTCCAGTCTTGGTACCCAACCAGGCTTCTTGTTATTTTACTGCCTGGAGTTCCAGGGACCCCTGAGTTTTTCTGCCAATGGAACTCTGGACAACTACCAAGTCATCTAAATTTAGAGCTGGGGCCCAGGATCTGACATGTGGTTCACGGAAGAAATGCTGGCCGGCCGAGGAGGCCCGGACTGGTGGGGTGCCAGGGGTGTGTGTGTGTGTGTGCGCGCGCGCACTCTCCCCATTACCTTCCACAGCAACTCGCACTCCCGCTCCTCCAGGGCCTTCTTATGTCTTGCAGTCACGGCCTTGACCTCCGACTGTACCACCTTGGCCTTCATCTCCACCTGCTCCGCCACGGTCTGGGCCTGCTCGATACTCAGCTGGAAAACCAGAAACAATTGCGTGGCATCAGAAGGACCTTCACATGCTTCAACAAAACGTTTAAGTCTGCCCCCCCAATCCCCACCAGACCTGAAAAGCGAACACCCAGGGCCCCCCAGACCGCTTGCTCCACTTCCTTGGAAAGAAAAGCAGACACTTCGGGAGAGAATGGCATCTGTCTGACATGTAACTGAAGGAGCTGCTGGCAAGCGCTGGATGTCTTTGTAGGGGAAATGGCACCTACCCGGTGAATGTCAGGACTATTAAGAGCTACTCTGACACAGTGAAACCAGTGTAGCTGGGTCGCAGCCGAAAACTGGGAATACGGATCAGATGTGAAATGCACTACCCCGGGCACGCGAACAACTTCCTTCCCACAGACTGTCTGGCCTTCTTACTGCCCACCTGGGGGAAACCCTGAAGGCTGGGCCCATCCCGCACGGGACGGTTATACAACAGGCTGCAAGCCAGCGGCTATCCATCACCTTCCTGTCATGTCATTTCCAGCCAGAACCAACCCCACATGCATACTGGGAATATTGGTCACCTCAGAAACCGTGCCCTGTGGTTAGAGACCATCAACACCACCACCACCCCCACACCCTGTACCACCAGCTCTAGTAAATCAGCCAGTTTAATCAGACGTATTATTGTTCATAAAAAATTAATCCAGACAGAAGGCCTCGTGTTTTCATTAATATTACATGACACGTCTTCAAAAGGATTTCTCTGAGATACTGAGGTATTAAATCAGGGATTCTACTAGTAAACTGACTGCTGATGGTGCAGTAGTCTTAGAGCTGGCGTCCCAAACCAGGAGGGGCCTGGGGAAGCATAGTTTGGAGCCTGACCTGGGCTCAGGAATTGGTGACGGGTGACCAACCATCCTTGTACCCTGGACAGAGGAGTATCCAGAATACGGAACACATCAAAAACTGGGGCAGTCCTGGGCAAACCAGGCTGATGATCAACACAGGAGTTGGGTAACCAGGTTCAAATCCTGGCTCCACCGCCTACTGGTTGAAAGGCCTTGAGACGAGTTCCTGGCCCCCAACCCTGGTAAAGGAGGACTGCGAGAAAAAATGCACAGAATACATGGAAAGAGCTGACCACAACAGCTGGCAAGCAAAGATTCTTCCCCAGAACTTCCAGTAGGAGCATAGCGCATTCTTGCTGACACCCTGATTTTGGACTCCTAGCCTTTAGAACTGCGAGATAACACATTCCTATTGTTTAAGTCACCCAGGTGGTGGTAAGTTGTTGAAGTAGCCCTAGGAAACTAACAAGTAGCCAACAAATGGAAGCAGATGAATTTGTCCAAATTTTCCCTTAAGATCAAAAACCAGAATGACCAACAAAGCAAGTGTGCATATAAGCAGATATAATGGGGTTTGGTAGATTTCAAATGTCTCAGGCTGTCAAGTCAAGATTCATTCAGAAAAAGAGAAACCTCACTAGACATTAAAACAAGAGACGATTTAAAGAATAGGGCTAACGAGGAATTGGAGCAGGGCTAGGCAAAGGGCACGCTGAGGATTAGAGATAGACAGTGACTGGGGGAAGTAGCCACCGACCCCTCAGGGGTTCCCAAGAATGACGAGAAGAAATTGGGGTTTTTCCCGTTCATTCTGGGAGCAGCAAAAGCAAGACATTGGAAGCAACTTCTGCAGCCAGGTTGAAAAAATGCCCCTGATAACAACACGAAGTTAAGAGGAAGAAGCGAGTCCCTTCTTCCCACTTCCAGGTAGTGGCTGGAAGGGAGTGCTGCAGCCCCAGCATCCCCTGGTGCAGGTGAGAAAGGGTGGGAGAGGAGAACTCAGTGACAGGCACACCCTGTTTTCAGGTGTGTTGGTTATTAATTAGCACAGACGTGTCCACACCTGACACAACCAAGCCTGTGTCCGTAATAACTCTTTTTTAAAAAATATGTTTTACTTATTTTAGAGAGAGGAAGGAAGAGGGAGAGATAGAAACATCAATGATGAGAGAGAATTATTAATCAGTTGCCTCCTGCACACCCCCCACTGGGGATGGAGCCCAAAAACTGGGCGTGTGCCCTGAAACAACCACTGAGCCATGCTAGTTGGACCATAATATTTCTTTTTTATTGATTTCAGAGAGGAAGGGAGCAGGAGAGATAGAAACATCAATGATGAAAAAGAAAAAAAGAAAGTAAAGGAAAAGAAAAGGAAACAACAATGATGAGAATCACTGATCAGCTGCCTCCTGCACGACCCCTATTGGGGATTGAGCCCCCCAACCCAGGCAACCGGGGCATGTGCCCTGACCAGGAATCGAACCATAACCTCCTGGTTCATAGGTCAATGCTCAACCACTGAACCACACCAACTTAATGTTTCTTCAATGATCAGCAGAGGTGGCAAAATGCTTTCTATTTTCACCAATGTCATTCATTGTATACCAAACTGATTTCTATCAAAAAAAATCACAAGATTTGAAAATAACAAGGCCAACACTCCTATAGGGCAAGAACTGGCTGGGAAAGCAACGACCACCCCCTTTGCGTGGGGGTGGGGTGGGGCGCTTATCATGTGACTCTACTCTGCTCCCTCAGGCCCTGCCAGATCCCTGCAAGCCAAGCCCTTGGGTATGGAACTCCCATTCTCTAGCAAGAACCGTTTCTTCCATTTTCCAAGCAGGTGGAAGGGGAGAAAAGCTCTTACTACAATCTCAGTCACACCCAAGCATGCAAGGATAACATCAATCCTAGGGTTGAGAGTCATAAAGGCCGTGTTGCAGACAAAATGGGTCTTTGCTTTCTAAATCGTGCACAAACCAGTCAAGCACTGCATTCCAAGATGCACAGCCAGGACCTGCTGAACTCGTTCCCATTATCAAGAAAGCAGGGCCTCTGAAGGAGACAAGAGGCAGGTGGGTTGGGGAAGATGACAGTGGGGAAGGGGCTGGGTCAACTTTGAAAACAGAAACACACTTTGCAATTAAAATTAAAACAAACAAAAAACAACCAACAAGCATGGGGCTTGAAGAAAAAAATGTTATTATCTTCTAAATGTTAACACAGAGCCAATCAAACATCTGAAATTGAGGGTCTCCATCTCGGCTGGCGAATCAGTCAGTGCATGCCAGCTGACCACTTAGTACCGAGGAGTCTGAGGCCATATGTGGGTTTCCTAGGGCGGAGTGCAGAAAGCGATTAGTGATGTCTGCCGTGGAGAACAGTGGTGGCCTAATGGCTGGTATTTAAAGTGCACCAATAACCAGAAGATAAACGTGCATAAAATCGCAGGCCACCATATCAGATAATGAAAAATACTCTACTGTACTCATATAATTGTAATCACATTTAAGAGCTTTGAAACTATGATTCATCTTAAAATTGTCAGTACATGGCTCAGTGGTTGGAGCATTGGCCTCTCTCCCTCTCCCTTCCTTTCTGAAATCAATTTAAAAAAAAATTTTTTTTTTAAATAATAGAAGGTTCTAAAAAGCAATAAAAATGATGAGGTAACACGACAAACATCTTCCATGCTTTCTTTGTTATGGGCAATTCTAGACTCTCGTCAGGGTAATTCTGTCTAGAATTAATCAAAGGATTTACTTCTGGGTGCTTTCTATAAATACAAAAAGCTAAATTAACACAGGATTTTTTTTAAAAAAACACACAGTCAATGGGAGAGATGTCTTTTTTATGTATATTCTTCCCACCCAGAAATGATTTATTAAAAGCTTACACAGAAATTAATCTTGAAAAGAAGCTGATGAGGACAACAGGATGGGAGGAAAGAAGGTGCTCAAGCCCTGGCCGGCTTGACTCATTGGACAGAGCATTGGCCTGCGGACTCAAGGATCCTGGGTTTGATTCCAGTCAAAGGCATGTGCCCGGGTTTCGGGCTTGATTCCCAGTGGGGGGCGTGCGGGAGGCAGCTGATCAATGATTCTCTCTCATCATTGATGTTTCTATCTCTCTCTCCCTCTCCTTTCCTCTCTGAAATCAATATATATATATATATATATAATTTTTTAAAGAAGGTGCTCAAGACAAGATGAGGGAGGTTAATACACAAGCTGCTTACAGGGCATGACTGCTTATTTATTCCTAGAGGCCCGGTGCATGACATTCGTGCACTGGAGGGGGGGGGGGGGGTCCCTCAGCCCAGCCTGCACCCTTTTGCAGTGCGGGAGCCCTCGGGGGATGTCCGACTGACGGCTTAGGCCTGCTCCCCAGAGCCTAAGCCACAGGTGGACATCCTTAGTGCTGCGGAGGCGGGCTGCTGTGTTCGCCAGCAGTCAGCCGGGCTTGTGGCTGAGCAGCGCTCCCCCTGTGGGAGCACACTGACCACCAGGGGGCAGCTCCAGCGTTGAGCATCTACCCCCTGGTGGTCAGTGCGCAACATAATGACCTGTCCTTCCACTGTTCGGTCATTTTCATATTATAGGACAGGAGAGCAGCCAAATATATCTCAAGCCTTCTGGCCCCAACACAAACACATAAAAGAGGATCAGTGTGTGATTCGGGGTCCAGAAGTGACCTGAAAAAAAGGCAAAAAACACCTCTAGTGCTAGTGAGTGTATATTATCTTCCAACTACAGAGGGGAAACCAATAAAACAAATATCCTCTGGCTGAAGAAAGGGAATGGAGTTTCTGAAATGTTTTTCTAAACAAAAGCTGTTAAATGTAAATTAAAACAACCCCCCAAACAGTACTGAGCCCATACACATTGTAAAATATATTCCTGGGTTACTAATACTCATTTAAAGGTGGTGTAAACGCCCTAACCGATTTGGCTCAGTGGATAGAGCGTCGGCCTGCAGACTGAAGGGTCCCGGGTTCGATTCTGGTCAAGGGCATGTACCTTGGTTTCGGGCCCATCCCCAGTGGGGGATGTGCAGGAGGCAGCTGATCAATGTCTCTCTCTCACTGATGTTTCTAACTCTCTATCCCTCTCCCTTCCTCTCTGTAAAAAAAAAAAAAAAATCAATAAAATATATTTTAAAAATTAAAAAAAAAAAATAAAGGTGGTGTAAAGTTGATATGGACTTAAATCTACTACCTGTCTACCTGCAGATGTGGATGCCTAGTATCCTTTACTTTGAGGTGTTAAATGCTCATTCATTTGCTCCAAAGGGAACTCCCTGTGCCCAAGGAGGAATGAAGGAAGACAGGCCAGTTAAGGGCCCTTCCCTGGGATTTTGTATATGGACTAGAGGCCCGGTGCACAAAATTCGTGCGGGGAGGGGGGGTGTCCCTCAGCCCGGCCTGTACCCTCTCGCAATCTGGAACCCCTCAGGCGATGCCCAACTGTCCGACTGCCAGTTTAGGCCCAATCCCACAGGGATCCCTGCAGATAGGGCCTAAACTGGCAGTTGGACATCCCTCTTGCAATCCAGGACCACTGGCTCCTAACTGCTCGCCTATCTGCCTGATTGCCCCTAGCCACTCTGCCTGCCTGTCTCATCGCCCCTAACCACTCGCTGGGGGGGCGGGGCTGGCCGGGGTAAGGGGCCGTGGTCATTCTGGTCTCTGGTTTTTCTGTTCTGGTCTCTGTTTTTTTCTGCTGTTTCTGTCACTGGGCTTTTATTATATAGGATGTTCCAGCCTCCTCCACCGACCTCAAAAGGGAAGAGGAGAGGGGAAAAGGATACCCACTCTTTCCCTGAGGGTGGCTTGCTGAACGGTGCAGGCCTGAAGCGATCGCCACTTAAGCCCACCTTTCTCTCAGCACTACATGGACAAGCCCAGATCCAGTAGCAAGAATGAGGTTACCATGGAGAGAGGGACAGAGCTAAATGATTGACAGTGCTGGCACCAAGGTCTGCGTCCCTGGATACCTGAAGCCTGATCCATCCATATTCTTCTACCTGGTCACCTGAGACTATTCATTCCCTTTTAGTCAATGGCAACCAAGAGTCCTAATTAAGGCAGCATGGGAAATTTTTAAATTAGGTCATGGTGTATTCAAGTTCTTCAACCATGATTTTTCTTCGTATTTGGGGGGTGCGTGCGGTGGTGGGGGGTTGCACATGCATAAGAAGGGGTTGGGGAGCTAGAGAGAGGACACCTGCTCACATGCTTCCCAAATGAGAAACTGTTAGTTTTGGATTCAAACTGCAATTCTATTCACCCTTAGTGTGCCTCTGGCAGGTTACTTGAGGTTAATTTCTTTGGAGCAATGTGTTCTCTTTGCAAAATGGAAAGAATGACACCCACACCATAAAAGCACTACTATGTATGCAGAAAGTACCTATTTCAGTGCCTGGAACAAAGCAGGGGCTCAGTAAACAGGTTTGGTAGTCCTCACTGAAGAAAAGGGAAGGCCGATTGGTTAAGATCTGGTTGTTTGGGCAAAGCAATTAATTTTGTTCCTCCATTTCCGTTATTTGTAATAGAAAAAAAAATGTTTCCTTGATCTACTTTTGGAGATAGTTTAAATTAGTTCACTAGAGAGAGTAGGCATTCTCAGCATAGTTGTGGCAGCTTTCCACCATGGCAAGCTGGAGTGTCCGCAGGGGACCTTAGTCTATTAGGATGATCAAAGAAATGATAAAAGACAAGCAGGAGATAAGGGACAAAATTAATCCAAAAATCTAGATTAACATTGCATCTGTACAACCTAAAACAATTATGCTTAGACATTAAGCTCAGTTCTCATTTTTGTGCAAAATGGTGTAATATGTTACTCTTGCTTTAACATGAAGAGTGACCATTTTAATTTTTTTTAATGTATATATATATATATATTTATTGATTGGTTTCAGAGAGGGAGAGAGAGAGATAGAAACATCAACAATGAGAGAGAATCATCGATCAGCTATCTCCTGCACACCCTCTTACTGGGGATTGAGCCTGCAAGCCGGGAATGTGCCCTGAAGGGGAATCCAACGGGCAACCTTTTGGTGCACAAACGCAAGGCACCCAACGGAGCCACACCAGCAAGGGTGACATCAGTGGTTCTTTAAACTCCCCAGGTGACGGTGTCTTAAAAAGAAGCCTGCAGGGCAAGCACTTGACAAGGTCCTAACTGTAGTGGCATAAAAAATGGAAACCACAAACCACTTCATTCACAGGGCCACAGTCATTAAGATAGAATAGAAATAAAACAGAGTATGTACCAGTGAGGATGCTGACACGTGAGATGTAACAGCAACCACAGGACAGAGACACTCTGAAGGCATAATAAGAATATGACAGAATAAATCATTCTGGAAACAGACTCTCAAACCTTCAATTTTAGGACGTGGATATCAGACAATTTGACTCATCAGAAAGATTACTTCAACATCACGCACAGGAAAGTGACAGCTGTGGAGAAATATATTAAAATCTAAACCATCCTTAAACCATCTTCCCTAGAGCACATGGTCAGTTCTTCAACCACTTTCCTAAAAGATACTTTAAAAAAAAAATAGATTTTATTGATTTTTTACAGACAGGAAGGGAGAGGGATAGAGAGTTAGAAACATCGATGAGAGAGAAACATCGATCAGCTGCCTCCTGAACACCCCCTCTACTGGGGATGTGCCCACAACCAAGGTACATGCCCTTAACCGGAATCGAACCTGGGACCCTTCAGTCTATAGGCCAATGCTCTATCCACTGAGCCAAACCGATTAGGGCTAAAAGATGCTTTTTTAACAATTCACTTATTCAAATACTCTAACAATAGTTTCCTATTCTATTTCTGCTCAAGGATTAGCAGTGTTGATTTTTCCAGCTTAGCCTACAAAACAAAGGCTAACACATCTCATGGTGTTTCCATGTTCCTAAAACCTGGATCAGGCAAGGAGATTCATAATCAGTTCAGGCACACAATATTACCTGACTGCGTGAGAGAACGGTGCTATGCCCCAAAGTTACGTGTGTCCCCAACCCCAAAGAGATAGAAATTAAACAGAAACAAGAGTCTAAATGACCGGGATGTGACTTGATCACCCAGGGAAGAAGTTTTGAGACTCTGAACCTTATGGGAAAGTGCCCATAACTCGCTTCTTTCTCATCTATAAATAAATAAATCTGAATAGCAAAGGTCTCTATCTGAAAAGCATCAAGCTCCCAGGCCTTCTGTGTAGTCCACCTGGAATTGGGGAGGGGCTGGATGGGAAACAGACAGATGAGGTGATAGGGGCCCAGGCTACGTGTATGGAACAAGCCTAGACCAGCCATTAACTTTGGCCACATCCTAACCTGCACAAGACTTCAAGGTGGTCCCCACCCCCGTGCCCCAGCCCCAGGGATTATTGCTGCATGGATATCACATGAGCTCACTTGGGTCATTGTTCCACCAAGGCCCCCACACACTGGCGTCTGCCCAGTAATCTACACACGCCATCTGAAAGGTAGTGGGAAAGGTTTTATGCACAAGGAAGTAGGTGAAGGGTGGGTGGGGAAGGAAGGACTGACCTGGATCGCCTGGCGGCCCTGCTGGGCGTCAGCCAGCAGCTGGATGGTGAGTGCCCGGGAGTCCTGCAGTGCCTCCTGGAGGTAGATGAAGCTGTGGCCCCCGTGCCGGCCCATTGTACACTCACGACAGATGGGCACCGAGCAAGTGTCACAGTAGAGGTGCAGCACCTGGAGACCAGAGAGGGGACAGGCATGAATGAGAGCCGCGGGCCTGGGGACAGAAAGGACAGCAACAGGGGCTCTGGCTCCCAGGCTCCCAGCCTCTCCCCTCCCAATAACCTCGCACACACCCTACAAGGGCAGGGAGCAGTGTAGTCAACTGTGAGCCCAACTTGCTCTTCTCCCCACCCCGCCCGGTCAAAAGAAAGACAACCATCATTCCACTCCAGTTTCATTCAGAAACATAACTGAGACACTTCACAGGCAATATTATTTCCTTATATCTTAGATTTAATTACCCAGAAATATTCGAAGACGATGTTTTCCTGATCTGAGATTCGTAGCCCAAAAGAAAGCACACACCAGAAATTTTCTCTCACCACCCTGCCCCTGGGCATATGAAGCAAGGTTAGGCCAATATCCATCAGCCTCACACCACAGGTTGCTGGCCACCCTCCCCGCCACGGAGGTTAGCACAACATGCAGAGCACGGTTCCCCAGGCACTCAAGCAAGCTAAGGGCTTAAGCTCCTGGAAGGAAGGCAAAAAGCTAGTGGGGTAAGGTCAGCCAGCTTCTTGTCTTTCTTCTTCCTGCCAAGTTGTCCCAAGGAGTTGACCCGGGGAGGCAGCCCATGCTGAGAGAGCCGATGTTCTGTATTTCCCTCGGGCCCAGCATGCTGGGAGGGAGGGAGAGGAAGGGCTGGCACCACCTCCACCTGCTGATAAATGAGGAGCTCTCAAGAGCGACAGCTCTTTGGCTCAGAAACTGGGCCAGTCTCGTATCCCTCCACAGAGCAGGGCACTTAGCACCACTCTCCGTAAATGTTTGCTGGATTGCTTTCAAGAGCAGAGCTTAAATCTGCCTCTGGTACACTTGGGCGTGAGGCAAAGCCAGCCAACACGCAACAGGAGGCCAGGGGAGTGGTGTCCAAGGGGGTTCTCTCACATACACAGTGCACCATGCACTTCATCTCCAGGTGAAGACAAGAGGTTGTGAGGTGCTTAAGGCCACACAGCTAGCAAGGGCAGAGCAAGGAGGCCAACCTAAGACTAATTCTTTTTTTTTTTTTAATTGAATTCATTGCAGTGACACGGGTTACCAAAATTATACAGGTTCAGGTGCACAGTTGTACAACACGCCATCTGTACACTGTACTACTGTGTGTGAACGGAGACTTCTAAAGAGTTGCTTCCAACCCATGCCTGGTACCGGCCTCCGCATGCAGAGCCCACAGCACCTTGCTAGGTCTCCTGGAGGTCAAAGGGGTTCCAGAGCCCATCCAGGCTGAGAAGCAGAGACAGGGAGACAGAGAGGCAGAGATAAGGAGGGAGAGTTAGTGGGAGCCCCGAGGCAAACAGTGAGAATGCTGTTTCTCTCCTTTTCCAGATCCGTGTATTAACCCATCAAGTCTTGGCATGAAGCATACCCACTAGGAAAGGCTCTCCCAGGCAGCTCAGCCCAGTCAACAGGCCTGCTCCCCTCTGGGCTGGAGGCAAAGATTGAGGATCTTCCGTTCCTACTTTTAAGAACTGGCTCCGACGTGGCATGTTTTATGGAGTCTATATTACAGGAGGGAGAACGTGGTCAGGTTCATAGTCTTCTACCGTTTTTGCCATCCAGCGAGATGCCGTTCAGGAGCCATCGTAGACTGAAAACCAAGTGTTGGCAACTGGCCTTCTTCGAGACCAATCACTCTCAAAAGGAGGCCCGCCATGTGGAGATGAACTCATCTTTCTAATCTGGCAAACCCAAAATTCTCTATCTCACCTTAAATACTCACCACAAGACGCGACACTGGATGCATTTGGGGGAAATTCCCGGGGTCTTTTTCTTTTTTTTCTTTTTAATGATGTGATGCTAAAGCAATTCGCCCACAGGTTTCAGCCACTTTGCTCCCTCCATTTGTCATGGGAAGAAAGGAATCACCCCGATGCTAATGACAAGTGTAAAAACCTCCCATCAGAAGGTTCCTTTTAAATTAGAATGAGGCATGCTGGCCAGCCTTCTGTCTCCTGCCCACAGTTGAGCAATCTTCTCTACCTCTTCTCAGGACCAGCCTGTTGTCCGACAGCTGTGTGGACTGACCAGCTGTGTGGGAGACAGCTCATCTATCTGCACAGGCAGTTAGTTGAGTGACAAAGAACCTTAGGCTGTTCACCTGAGCCTGGCTCTACCTGGTCATGGGACAAGCTAGCCAGTCTGACTAGGTACCTCAGGAGACCTCTTCTACCCCAGAAACCCCAAGAACCCTGTCTCTAGGGTCTCAACCTCAGAAACCAAGAGGCTTGGAAATAATAACTCTGGGCCAAAGCAGGAAGCCAGGCTCCTCCAGGGGCCAGTTGTGCAACTGCCAGGAATTAAGGGGATTTTTCTGGGTTTTAGAGGTTTGTGAAAATTGGAACCTGGTGAATCCGACGAGTGAGAGGTGTCGAAGAATTCTGCAGGTGAAGTGGCCAGAAAAGAAATCCTGGCCAGAGGGTGGAAGGAGCGGGATGCCCGAAGCCCCTGGCACCAGGCCCCTCACATGTGCAGGCTGGAACCCCCAAAATGGACAAAGGGGGTCCCGGGTCCCTGGATGCAATCCCACCTGGCATCATTTCACATGAGATGGATGCAGCTCTAGGCCATGCTGGGGCTGGGCGTGGGGAGCACCCAGCCAGTTGGTCAGAAAAAGCTGTGGGTGAGTAGAACCATAGCCGCATGGTGCTTGTAATTAATAAATCACTGACTTTAAAAACAACAACAACACAGATTGTCCCAAATACTGAAAATGTGATCCATTATATAAACTGTCTAATAAAAAGTTGGGAGTAGAACTTTGGGGAAGATTTCGCACTCCGTTTAGAAGCTCCGCATCTCATCTGCTTGAAATTTCTAAAGTCGAAAACCCACCATTTCAGAGCCTGTGAAACACGAGCCATAGGTAAGGATGTGTACATGGGTGCAATTCTCTGAATCAGCTGCAAGATATTTTAACAGAGCAAACTGGGAAACCCACGTCTTCCAAAGAAAGGGCTGTGTGGAGGGTCCAAGGCCAGATATGTAGCAGAGGCCATGAACTATGGCTCCAGGAAGGGGGGCAGGGGGCGAGGAGCAGGCCTCTGGTGGGAGGAATTCCAGGGCCTGGGGCTGCCTGTTTGGGGCTTCCCGGGCAGATGCACAGACACGCCCCCACCCCCACCTCCTCCCGCCCCTGCATGGCGACAATCTGGCTGCCCCAGCTGAATGGAGCAGGCTCGACCTCTGACCTGGCAAGTGACCACCCTCTTCCCTGCCCCCAGCTTCCAGGAGGCCCCACCCACTGCCTTCCTCTCCCAAAATTTCTAAAATACCAGGCAGAGACAAAGACCTAGGAATGTGGGCCCTGCAGGAGAGGAAGGGGGAGGTTAAAGAAAAAATAAATAAATAAAAATACCAAGTAGGCAGGTTTACCTTAGCCAGAGCTTAAATAAAGTGCTTTGTTAACGAATAAGACTGTGTGTGCGCGTGCGCTTTACACAACCTACTTTTTCTAATACCTGCGATCCAACAAGGAATTCGTCCACACCGCACACATCTGTAAGAACGAGCTTCTAGTTTCAAACACAACTGCCCCCATCAGTGAAGAACGCAAGCGCAAAGGACGGACGGGCCTCTCGTAGGCAAAATACCCCACAAATGAAATACAATATATGGACCGCTGTTAAAGTTACCTGAGATTTTTTTCCCCCTAACATCGCTTAAAATGACTGGGGACGACATCTGGCCTCCCACAAACTCTGGCTCAGACAGAAAGGGGTCCCCACCCACCCAAAAGGGCTTCTTCTTAAGTTTCCCACGATAGAAACGGAGTGAATGAAGAATGACTGGTGACAACCAGAAGCCTTATCAGTGTGGTCCACTGGGCAGGCTCTCCTCTTTAAAAGTGGGTAAAGCCAAGTTCAAGGAGTGAAGTCCAGCCACAAAGCTAAGTCTATTCAATAACATCAAAACCAAGCTCTACTTGATTTATGGAACGTACACTGAATACCGAGTCCACACCCGAGGCAGGGGCTCCTCCTGTCTCCCTGGCCGCGTGCTGCTGCTGTGCCCCGCCCCCACGCCCCCCCCACCCCCCGTTACCCGTGGAAAGAGGGGGGAAAATAAATCTGGACCCTTTTCCCAGCACAATCACCACCAGCTCAAAATAGCAGAACTGGGCTGAGGACAAATTATTTCTTGTGTGGGGAAGGGGAGTGTCTGAAAAAATTTAGATAGGGAACCCCCTGTGTTTTTAACACACAAAGATACAGAAGTGCAAATAGTTTTAAATCTCCCAATTTACATAATCACCCAAAATATGCTATATTCTACACATTCAAATTTTTAGAAGACAAACAGTCGACTTTTTTTTTTTCCTTCACTTAACCATATTAAACTTGGAGAGTGTCCTGGGTCAAGCTGCCTGCCTTAAGAATGGCTGCATGATATGTCATCTGTGAATGTAACCATAATTTATTTAATTGCTCATTAGTACCTATGGACAGGAGCAAGTCCCAATTTTTTTTTTTTTGAAAAAAAAATCACAAGCAATGCTGCAGGGACTATCCCCGTTCTTTATACAACCCAAAATTTCAACTTGGCAATATTTCCCATTGCTATGTCACTTGATGTATCGGGGAAAACATCTACTTGTCGAGTGTGGTTAGTAAGGATTCTCGAATTTATTAACTTCAAGTCAGCTCAACCTCCCTCCATGGGAACACAGGTTAGCAAGTGCCTGTTCCTGTTCCCAACAAGACCCAAAGTACACAAAAAGCCAGCAGGGGGACGCCAGGCGAGGCGGCCAATGATGGGACTGGGAGCAGAGGAACAGCAAGAAGGCAAGCCTGGTTGTGTTTTGCATCCTCAGTCGTGGCTGCTGCAGAGACTAAGGAGACGACTGTCCCAAACCTGAAGACTGTAAGCTACTGGGCAGCAAACCCTGAAAACGATTTATGACTTTCACCACTGACTGTGAGTTTTCATATATTTACTGAAGCAACGCTAAT